GGAGAAAGTGATCCACCGGCCTATCCAAATGGTTTATACTACAGTTACTACAGTTCTTAAAATGCAAAAACAAGGCGAGAGGCCTGGAACTACCTTATGAAATTCGTCTTCCGGTTGAGGTTTACGAGTGTGTTCGTGTCGCTCGCACGAGCAGTCCATCAGTCACAAGCCTTTCGCGAGCCTGCTCATTTGTCAGCGTTTCTCTTTGCTTCATTTTCCAATTCGGACGAAAACAATATTTGATGATATTCAAGCTTATTCTGTGCTCGATTTTCCGTCGACAAAACCTCAACTAAACAGTCAAAGGAGAACAAGAGAGTCGGAAATCTGCAACGCGTCCGCCATCTTGGAAGTTTCAGGTAAGCTAAATTTATTGATGAACTTGAATCGGTCTCATTGATATTTCTGGGCTTTATTAATTTTCATTTTCCCATTGATTTTATAGGGGGTTAGTAGGGGAGTCAGTAGGGGGTCAGTTGACCGGGGGTCAGTGTTTTGTCGAAACCCACTTCAAACAGGTACATGAATTTATCGCTACGCGCCTCACTGCACAACTGAGATCCTGACTAATAAAGGAAGCGTAAGGATCATTCTACCTGTAAATATCTTGTAATCTGTTGGGCCAATTTTTAATACCAGTGTCGATATAGAGCAGTGTTGTTCCCAGACGGAACTCAAGATCGTTGTCAACAGAAACAGATAAACTAGATTAATTCCACGATGTTGACTCTTCAAGTCATAGCACTTCACTTCTTGAAGTTTACATACCTTACATGGGCTTTCGAAGCGAAGTCACACTCGTAAAAGGTGACTCCAAACAACGTATATTTTTTTTCTCAACGCGGATAAAAACCTTGCACTAACTAAGTTTAGCTACTCACCGAAGTTTCAGCCTTTGTGGTGCAGGTTTTCCTTGTGAAATTCGTCTCCGAAGAAGCCCAAAATTGAAACATCGTTGCCGCCATTTTGAACAGTACTCAGCAGCCAGGCCGAGTTTTCGTGACGTCATTCCGTCCGAGAGATTTTGTCCAAATGGCTTCCGAAGAGCCTTTTTAACTACCACTCTGGGTTATGGCTCCTCTTGAGCCGTATTATTGTCAGCCAAACATGCTCCAAACTCCGAAATGATAGCATTAAAGATAGTGAAGTGGCGCTTGGAAAATTTTGCTGACCTTGTGAAGGATGTTAAGAATGGCTGACTGTAAGAATCGATAAACGCCGGTCAACGACCCATTTGCCAAATCGCTCATATTTTGCCCAAAGATACCCTTAGGTGACCTAATTCTAAAAATCATATTTAAAGTTTCCAGCGAATTTTTATTTTTCACAAATTCGCAAAAATTTGAATGCGCGGTCAAAGTGCGGTTTTTCGTGTAATAAAATGACAGAAATAAGGTGCGAGGACGAAGCGCTGCTTA